AGCAACAGAGGTGGGGTCAGGTGCAGGGGTGAGAAAATAAGCATTTTCTGTGCCGGGCACTATGTGAAGCTCTTTAAGAGCACTGTGTGTTTCATGCTCCCCAAATCCTAATGGGTTGCTCCAGTTACTGTCCTCCTTCTGGACACAGAGAAATAGACGCTCAGGAGGTAAAGGAAGTAGCTCAAGATGACCACCAGCTAGCAAGTAGCAGAAAGCTGAACTGGAATCTGCTTCCAGCACTTTCCCTCATGCTGCAGACAGCAACATCCTACGTGAACTGTTTATGTCACATAGGCTGCAGAGGGGGAGTCCCCTGTTTAAATAAGGGAAGGGTATGATGCTGGGTTGGAGGAGCCCCACCCTTTTTCTCCAGCCAGGCCTGACCTGTACACCATCTGGTGATCAACTATCCTGGTTTGTCTGCGACCTTCCCAGTTTGAGCCCTGAAAGTCCTGTGTCCCAGTTTTGCCCAGGATGGTTGGTCACTGTGGCCTTGGTCACCCCCGGACCAGTTGCAGAGAAGACTGAGTGGCCTGACAGAGCCGTGTCAGGACGGCCTGGGAGGCCTTTTCAATTACATTAGCTTCTGGCGGCACTAGAGGGAGACGCCAGCCTCGCCTCCCCTCCCTTTCTCCCTTCCTCCCTTCCTGTGACTCCCCAGGAGATGGTGATTCAGCAGCAAGTCGGAAGCAGGCTAGACTGTGACCTACCGGGAGTGGAATTGCCAGGGGCGTGGGGGCTGTCAGCACCAGCTCCAGGCAAGAACTGAGCAAGGGTGGGAGGTGGAGAGGGGGTCTTGAGTTGGTGGGAAACTGGACTCTAATGGAGGGTCTGCTGTCCTGCCCAGGCCAGGACTGATTGCAGGGCAGCAGGAGGCAGGAGATCCCTGCCTCTCCCCACCCCGCCCCATGCCCTGGTATGTGAGGGATGGGGGAGTCCCAGCCACTGGATATCTAAGCTGCTTCTCAGCACATTCAGTGGCTAAAAATATGAAATGGCTTTGCTAAAAGGTGCCCAACCAGAAACCTCCAAGAGGTTTCCTATTAGGGCCGCCTCTACTCGGGCTGGAGGCCAGACCCTGTGGAAGGAGTCTAGGCCTGCCCGTCCCACCATCCAGCCCCAGCCTGAGCCCCCCATGCCAGGGCCTCGGCCTCCACCCTATTAACCTATGTGCTTCTCAGGCACCCAGGGCTGGCATTGCCCTCCTCCCCTGCACCCACTGGTGGCAGCATTTGGGGGTTGGTCTTGACCCAGAGGAGGCCCAGGTTCTCGGCCTCCATTCCCAGCCTCACCTACTCACTGCATGACCTTGAACATGCTGTCCAGCTTCTCTAAGCTTTGCTGTCCTCACCTGCCCAAAAAAGGAGACCACAGTATCCAGGGGTCCTTGAAGGGAAGGGCTTATCCTCTAGTTGAAGGACAGGCTGGCTGGGGTGGGTTTTGGGGAGCGGGCAGGGGTTGTCTGGAAGCTTCTTTGTCATCTCAAGCTCATTGTTCTTACTAAGCAAGATTTTCTTGAAGGTGGCTAGAGTCCCAGTGGAGCTTGTGGTTCAGGGACTGGGGTGCCCCCTGGCACCGTTGCTGCCTACAGGGATTTCAGTGATTGAGCAGAGGCTGTGCTGGACCTGGGATTCTCAACCAACACTGGGGCAGCCTTGGGGGGCTCATCCGAGATGCAGACACTAGGTTCGTCAGCTCAGGGGTGGGGGGCCACGTCTGAACTTGTAACTCCGGCTCCCCAGATGACCCTGTTGAATGCTCAGGTTGAGAATCGCTGAAGGGGCCTGGCACAGAGTGGCCTCAAGCAGCCATGAACTGTGTCCCTCTCCCACTCCTGAGCCTCGACATGCTCCCGTCACATGGTAATGACCTGCCTGTCTCCCCTTGGGGGCTGTTGACAAGCTCAAAGAGAATCATGGGCAGTGCAGCTGCACAAACAGAGTGGAGACGATGCAATGACCATCACTGCAAGGAAGCCACGCCCCCCCCCATCTGGTCTGCTGGCTGCCCGGGGATGGGCAGTGGGCCACTGTGGTCCCCGGGCCAGAGGCTTCTCCTGCAGGGCCAGCGGGGAGGTGGTGGGGCAGGGGAGGGGAGCTGATCCTGGCCCTCCACTCTCTGCCTTTCCTCAAGCCCCACTCGGCAATAAGGCCTGAGAAACAAAGTCTCTCCTTGGGAGAGGCAAGTCAGCTGGGCTGGATGTAGCTGCCATATAACACTCTCCTCCTCCTCCCTGGGAATTTGCCTCATGGCAGAGCTTCAGTGGTCACAGCCAGGCACTTCTACACAGTGTCTCCCCATCTCCATTCTGCCCGACCTTGGCTCTGGCCTTCCTGGACTGACAGGCCAGGGACAGGGGCAAATGGGAACTCTCCCACCTGCCTTTTGAAGACAACAGATTCGGCAGGTTCCTTGTTATCCCCCATCCATGATGCAGTTTCATGGGGGGAAGGGGAGCTCATAAACCACAGCCTTTCCTCAGCTTGGATGACCCTGGGCAGCGGCCTAACCTCATCTGTAAGATGTGGATGATAGAACCTCCTTAGTGTGGACGTGAGGATTGAAAGAGGCTTGGAATACTGAGGAGGTTCTCAAACAAGAGGGCTGGTGGGAAGGAGGGAGGGGGTGGTATCAGAAATGGAGGTTCCTGGGCCTCAACCCCAGCATTCCTACTCACAGGCTTCTGTGGGAAACCTAGGAGCCTAGGAAGCAGGGGTCCCCTCATCCTAGGCTGTGGAGGCAAAGCACCTTGAAGCTTAACAAATGCCCTCAAAACCCAGGTCACCCCCTAGACTCCCAGGATTGGAGTCTTGGGGAGTCCATGAGGGTGACTCCCTTCCCAGTGAACCTGATGTCCTTTCCTCCAGGAGACCCCATCTTTCCAGCCGGCAGACCTAGCTGCCAGCTCACTTCGACTGAAGCTGGGCAATTGGCATTTTCTTTGATCCCCAGGGAAATGAGCATTTCCCCTGGTCTCCACATAGATCACCATCCAGCCCTACCTGAGCATTTAATAGACCTGTCTTAGAGGTTCCCCTGAGGACTGGTGGATGCAAGGATGCAGTTCAGTTCAGTTCAGGCGCTCAGTCATGTCCGACTCTTTGCGACCCCATGGACTGCAGCATGCCAGGCCTCCCTGTCCATCACCAACTCCCGGAGTTAACCCAAACTCATGTCCATTGAGTCGGTGATGCCATCCAACCATCTCATCCTCTGTTGTCCCCTTCTCCTCCCACCTTCAATCTTTCCCAGCATCAGGGTCTTTTCAAATGAGTCAGTTCTTTGCATCAGGTGGCCAAAGTATTGGAGTTTCAGCTTCAACATCAGTCCTTCCAATGAATATTCAGGATTGATTCCCTTTAGGATGGACTGATTGGATCTCTTGGCTGTTGAAGAGACTCTCAAGAGTCTTCTCCAACACCACAGTTCAAAAGCATCAATTCTTCAGC